GTGTCTGACAACTCTTGGTTGTTTACCGTCTTCCCTGATCCATGCGGTGTCTGGCGAGTAACTTATCATAGATACGTTCTCCATTGTTGTGAATTGAGCCCTGAATGTGAGACTTTTCGTGCGATTGTTTCCATTTTCCTGGCTACCTTTCCTAACCGATATCCCGTTTTTGGATCGATAGTGTGCTGGACCTTTGAAGCGGTCCTGTAGAAAAACTAGTGGTGCCCTCTCGAGGTGTTGCCTTTCTTGGTTTGTAAGAGGTCTTATCGGTTTGCATGTTTTTAGGTTTTCTAGGTCATTTGTTCTATTTTCACTTACGAATGCGTGTTTGAGTTATATTAGGTCATAAGGCTTGTTAGAAAGAGGAAGATGCGCACCTATGGGAAACTTTTTAAGAAGTTGTCGATAGAACTTGAGTGGGTTATATGTTGACTCTGGCAGATATGTATGCCCTCTGGGTTCTGGCAGGTATGCATCTCTGTATACCAGGTCGAGTTCGTCCACGCTGTTTTTCTCTCGGTCCAAGGTGGCCTCCGCTGGTGATGTCGCTTTTGTTTGTAATTTTTCATCTAAACAAGATTATTTTGTGTTTTCCCAAGATATATTTGAAAGTTTTGGTGAAGTGCATATTTTACTCAGTGGCGTGTTAAGTTTTCTGCCAAATTGAGCCTCCAATGGCGTTATTTTAGTGGTCGCGTCTGGCGTAATTCGAGTGTTTTAATCAGTTTGGCCACATCAAACGCGAGTTTATAAGGCCTGTTTGTTTTCTCGATTTTCATTACTGATAATCTTGATTTCTAAGTTTTATTAAGCCTTTCCACCATACCCATTGGCCTGTGGTCATCCACTGGGGCAAATATCAGTTTAGCACTCGATGTCTAGTGAGCTGCCTTCCCCTGTGCAAGGATGAGCAACTAAAGTGAAACGATTGACTTTTAACAGTGAAAGTTGTTTGCGTTTTAATCGAATTTGAAGATGCAAAGTTTTCGTTCCGATTGAGCCCATTCGTGCCTAGATATCCGGTTGGATATTTGTTCAACGATGTATTTGCAGCACTGCTATCTTGAAATTCAAAACACTTGACGAAGTCGTTGATCAATGCGACGACAAAATTTACAATCCAGTATGCTGGGGGCAGTGCTTCTCCTACCGGGTGTCTTGAAATTTAATCAATTAGACCCATTTTACTGCCTGCTAGGTGTTTTATATCAAAATCGAACGGAACAAGTCTGTCGATCCAACTGGTTAAACGGCTTTGGTAGGCTTTATTTCCCCTATTAATTTGTAAAGAACTTACTTATGCTTGGTGGTCTGTAATGAGTGTGAAACGTCTGCCGTAGAGGTAGTACTCGAAATATTCAATGGCCCAGACTGCGTCCAAGAGCTCTAGTTCGTTAACCGAAAACTTAATTTCACAGGAGTTAAAGAAGTGCAAATCGTATGCGTTTGTTGCCTAGCCGTCCGGTGTATCCTGTTCGAGGGCCGGCCCTGTTCCGTCTCGACTTGCTTTGCTGAAATAAGATGTTTCCCCATCGCTGACGAAATGTCTGTATTCTGTGATATTTTGTACCGCGTGTAGTATTTTGTACCGCGTGTAAACACTTTTCCATGATCATCGTTCCACGCGAAGTTGACATTATTTGTGGTGGTTAAAATTGGTCTTAATTTGGTATGAATTTAATTGAATGAGGAATAGAGCCCATGAAGCTTTTGAGCTGTTTAAGGTTTTCAGGTTTTGTAATTTTACGATGGCATCTGTTTTCTTTTGCATAGGGATCGGGCCGTATTTGCTTATCACGAATCCAAGCCACCCAACTTCTCTGTATCCAAGTTTACAATAATCAAACAATATTGACATGTTTTCGCTTCTGATTTGTCGAGAACCCTTTTAACTTTTCGATATGTTTTTTTTTGTTCCATGTGAAATGATTAGAAGGTCGTCAAGGAACGCAAACGCGTTTTTTTCGCTATTTAGCGTTAGGTCGATAGCTTTCTGGAATTCTGCTGGCATATCTGTAAGCCCGTAGGATCCCGTTTGTAAATGGTAGGTTGCCGTTGCTCTATCCCAGATAACACTTGACACACTGCGTACGTGTTTTTTCGTCTGATGGCAATTACCTATAGACGTAGCGTAGGTCTATTGTCGGAAAGTATGTTGTACCTGGTTTATTTGAACCTTCTTGGGCAGATTGTGCAATATTATCTAGCAAAACCTCAATGTTTGGCATTTGAGATTTATTTTTATGGATCGATTCGTTTATTTGTTTCGAACCCATTGTCAAATTTAATATCAGATCTTTGTTCACTGTAATTGCAATGGGAACAATGAATTTCTGTTCAAGGCAATTTTTTGATCGAATTAAGTGTCCCTGGTCAATCATATTTCGTTTTCTTCCTTTTCTTGAATATGGTTAGGAATGTGCCGTGAATTCTTCAAAAAATTTCGTGTGAAATGTGTAGTTTTTTGATCTCCCAATTCTTGTGCAGAGATCTGGGTATGCAGTTTTCACCCAGTTAGCTATTTTTACGTCTGATTTATCAATGCTGTTTGCATGAATTGTTGACTTACCAAATGGTTCTTGATATAGAAGTATTGATATAGAAGTATTCCTATCTTGACATAGAAGTACTCCTATCAAAGGTAAAAGGTTGCGCCCGAGAATGTTGTCCCTTTTTTCGTCTAAAACGATGCATGAGGCTGTGTTTACCGTCCAGCCTGTGTCTGCAATAAAAAATTAGGCTGTTTTTTCCTGGTCGTACCCGGATGAGGTGTCATTTTAGGTCTTCACCTTCGATAATTTCCACTTTCTTTTGTTCAAACTGGATTGAATTTGTGGTTGAGTCGTCCGGATGCATTAACTCTCAGCCTGAGACAACATCTCCCGCTTGGAGTTAGTTTACGTATTGCTCCCGTGTCTGTTTCCTAAAAACTTTGTTCATGCGTTTGATCCTCTTGGATTGCGTAAATCTCGCTTGACTTGCATAGTTTTGCAAAATGACCCCTCTTTGTGCAACTGTTGCAGACTTTATCTCTGGCTGGACATTGTTGATGGTTGGGTACGAATGGCTTTTGAAGCAGGTTTTTTGTTTCGTTGTGCCGGTGCCATTTTTTTGTGATGTTGTTCCCCGACCTCGGCCACCTTGCGTCTGATTTCTGTAGTTTGCTCTTCTTTGCATGAAGCTGACAGGCTCCGATTTTATTTGTGTTGCTGAAAATTGGATGGCAACATGAAAAACAACTTCTGAAAATTGGATGGCAACATGAAAAACAACTGCTAGTTGAAGCAAGAAAACAATTTCCATGAAAGACCAATAAAATTTAACTACAAAAAAAAACTTTTCTCCTAAAAAAAGAAACTTCCAAATGTAATATTCGTCATATAAATACAACTAAACAATAAGACACATTGAAATTAGATTAGACCTGCCAGAATATGGCTTTTAACTATATCAAAAAAAAGTCGCAACAAAAGGAAAAACAAGGTTCTCTAAATGTCTTAAATCATCTGTTATACCCTCATCAGTTCTGTGAGAGGTAATCTAAAGATCTATAGTGACGTCGGTAACATCTAACATTGGTTTGAATAAAACAATTCAAATAACAACTTAAATTCAATCTCTATAATTTAAGTCTGGCTGACACTTACCTCGAATCATTTGAGATACAGTCTCTTATATGAGCTAGTACATATGTCTTAACATATAAATAGATACTTATTTAATCATCAGACTTCTACATGTTAATCAGTCTAAACTATTAATAATGCTTGAGTTACCAACTGGTTGTTTTAGCATGGTTCATTACTATTGGATGTTGTATATAATATCCGTATGGATAACATCATCAATTGAAGTTTTTGAGATTCATAAAATAGAGCCAAAGCTAGCTTCGCAAGATTTGCGATTGAATAAAACCTTCATTGAAATCACTTTTATTAAGTTCCAAAAGCTATATCTATAAACTTCAAACATTTGTATCTAGTGATGTTCACTTTGGGGAAATGATGCCAAGAAAAACAATCACCGCCATTAATTAAGTTAACCCAGCGGCAACTAAGCCGACAAGACTTTAGTGGACACCGGTTGAGTCTAAACAAATTGTTCGCAGAAAATGTTTTCACGCCCCATTACTCAGGAAACCCAAAAGCAGAATGATCGAATCTTGCCGTTCAAACGACACAAATAGCGCTAGCAGAAACCAAACACAATTAAACGAAAAAAATGAAGTTAATAAAACTCAATTTTGGAGGCAAATAAAAAAATTTTTGAAGAAAAAAGAAAAATTCAACTTCAGAAAAACACTCGAAAAACAATCGCCAGCATTGAATAAGCTGTAGATATCGTTTAAAGAGCGGCCACTTAATCAACAATATTTTCATTGAAAAAATTAGGCGAGTAAAGTTCAAAAATTTTATACCAGAACAAAAAAATTAAAAGTTCAAAAAAATTAAACCCTACAAAATTATGAACAAATTTGCGAAAACCAAGGCAAACGGCAGCTGTGTAAAAGCACAGGATATGCCTACCACAGTAGCTCTGCATGTTGCTTCAAAAACTGATTTAAATAGCTGCAATTATGGTTAAAAACTATCGAAAAATCAGGACATGCACACTATTTTCTAATCATCAGCCTTCTAATTAGCCAACCGGTAATTAGCCTTAAAAGCGTAATTTCAGACCAATTTCTACTGACACCGAAAACAATTTTTTGAAAACCGAATTACGGCTAATTCAGTCCCCTAAGATAAATCAATCAACTATTATGAAGTGAACTTGGTGTATCTGACTCGGTGGTGAAAAGAACCCAGACCGTAGTCTACAATTCAGTCCCATTCCCTGATTTGTCACGAACTCCAAAATTTAAAAAAAGAATATTTCAAAATCAAAAAGGAAATCTGAACCAAATGAAAAAAAATTACGCAACAAAGGAAATTTATTAAAGCGACCAAATAGCTCAGATTGACTTTTTTCAAATTCGAACACTTTGTAAGAAACGGGTAATAAATATTAAATTGAAATCTGACAATAGACATCATAAAACTTCGGAGAAATGAGAGTGATCATAGCTAAGGTTAAGAGAAAACTTCCGATTGTAAGCAGACAATTTTGATATCATACTACACTGATTTGAAAAGAGATGCCTAAAATTGGATGTAAGCTCGTCATTTCTGCAAGCGTGATCAAATATGCTGTTTTCACGGAAACTTATTTTCCAAGACAATGAAGCACTTTTTGAAAAACTTTGCACAAAATAAAATCAGTTGAAAAACAGTGTATTTAATTGCTTTTTCTTTTTAGGGAACTGGTATAAAATTTAGGACAAATTTCCACAAAATTTAACATTAGTTTTAGTTATTTCTTCATTTTCGCAGGTCAGAACTTTCTTTGTAAGCAGCAACAATAACATTAGACTTTTGTTTCCGTTTGGGCAACACGTGTATTGTTATGATTCGCTTGGCTAGAACTACAATGAGTCTTTCTTTCTATTGAAGTAAGGGTTAAGCTGTGATTAGAGTGTAGATTAGGCAGTATAGGTAGAAGAAGAAAGAGACTAGAAAAAAGGCCATCTTGATCCAGCCCTCCTTCATGATCAGACTGAGCTGACTTGTGTTCATAATTGTAGTTGGGTCATAGATGCCATAGCCTCCAATCATTGGTCTGTTTGCGTACCTTAAGAATAAACACATTGTATGATTGCATATTCACCAACCAAAATCTAAACCAGCTACCATATAAATCAGCTAAAAATACTTAAAGATACGTAGTTATTATCCAACATTTCAGAAGCCACTAGTCTAAATGATGCAAATTATAGACCTGCTTATAAGGGTCCTGGTTAAATTTCAGACGTGTTATTTCCACGACTTTTTCAAAATTTTATCATCGCTAGTCAATATTTTGGCTCTTTCTCATCCCCCTTTGATTTTTGCAATTTATGATGATTTGTGTGCTTTTTAATTACATTAAAACATGGCAGTCGTACGGATTAAAAAGACTTAAGCCATTTTTTAATTAAGCAAACTCGTTATTTCCCAAGCGAGGACGGTTGGCAACATAAAAAAGCCAATATTAGATACAAGATGATTTATAATTACTAACCATTTATTGTCATGCTACTAATTTTTATTTTTATTTTCCAATAAATATTTTTCAAACATGTTTTGTATACTACTGCAGAGTTTTAGGAAAACGATCTAAGATCTTTTTATCAATCGTTATTGTATAATATTAATTTTGTTTAGCGCCTGAAATGATTTTGAAGATTAACTTCAAGGTTTTATGTTTGCAAATGGAAATCTAAATTCATTGCAAGTAGTATTCGAAATATAAAAGTTTGTTCTGGCTTTTGCCGAACTATCATATAACTATACGGCAAGTTTCTACTTTGTCGTATGTCGTCTTTGGTTCGAGGTCTTCTTCCAATTCCGGGTAGTTCTATTATGGTTCGGAATATTGGCTCTGATCTATTGAGTCGGAGAGACATTTCAATTAAATTATTGTCGTATAACATTTTTTAAATGTTTTTGTCTAATTTCTAATCTAATTTTGGTTAATTCTAATCTAGTAAGGTCTTGTTCGAGACTTATGGTCGCACCAGATGAGTTATGACTGGGGTGTATAACTCATAGAGTAATTTCGGATAGGGTACACCGTCTGCTCGTCACGCTATCTTATTTTCGGCCGGATAGATTCGTGCAACTTCTTAGTCTAATACCGATCCTAATCTTACTCTTATACTATCTAGTCTCAGGTTGTTTAACTAGTCTCTGCTAGGCTCAATAGATCTAGGGTATACTGGTTTATTGCGGCTGCTGAAGTGCTCGGGAGAGTCCAACTAATTTCTAAGTTAAATTCAAATCTCTCTGGTGCTGAAATTACAAGTAACTTCAGCACTTACAAATAAGTGGGTTGTTAGTTAGATGGATCATGATTGGTTAATATTAAATACTTTACATTGGTAAAACATTTAATTTATCCAATCATAAAATATAGTTTAGATCAGGTTCCACCCATCCGGGTTTTACAGAGTTTTTTAGAACAGTTCTTCTGTAATTCAAGGGTGGATGATGGACGTTGGTATTTGGCGAACATCATAATTTTCTTTCGCTTCTTCTTGTGACAACGACTGAGTCTCTGCAACAAGGTCAATTCTGATTCCAGAATGGTTGGCTATGTCAGGTTTTTCTGTTCTGCGTGGAGAACTTCTTTTGTGTATGATCTAGTTTGGGAATGGCGTGGAGATTGTGCGTGGAGGGGATGCCTGGTTACTCGGATCTGTACGTATACTTGAACATCGAGGTGGTCATTGGTCTAGTTCAATGAAGTCCTTTTCTGCGAAGTCAAGTCGTACTCTAAATCCTTTGAGTTGTGATTGTGAGCGGCATATCGATTGTAGTTGGTCATTCTCTCTCGAGTGTAGTGAGGTCGTCTTGTCTTTTGATGTTCGTCCTTGGTGTTGTATTCTGATCTATATATTGCATCATGTGATTTTACATTTTATAAAACTTTTATTAGTTTAATATTTTTTTATAATGATTTTAGTTAGTTGTTTTCACAAAAGCTTTTTGTTTTAGTTCGGTTATTTTGAAGAGTTACTCACCCTTGAGTAGCTCTTATTAAAAATAAAGGTGTGGTCACAAAGCGTGGATGTAGCGCGGTGGGTTAGGCCGGCTATAGAGCATGCTCAGGACGTCCTTTCCTGGTGGGTTAGGCCAGGAGTGGGAGTATGATTTCATGCGGTGTTTGTGAGGGGTCCTGTTATGTGACAACGTTTTATGTTGGGTTTGTTGTGGTTTTACTTATGTCTTGTTGGTTATGTACTTTTTCCAAAAAGCAAATTGTTTGTGGTATGGGTTTGTCTTTCGACTTTTTTGTGTTTTATTATTTCTTTCTAAGACTTTGTAATAGTCTTCAAAAGAATAATTTATCCAGTTTTAAACTGGGTTAATCCGGTTTGGGTACCGTTGGTTTCCTTTTCTAAGTCATGCTGTTATTCTATGAATTGTGGTATTTAGTAAGCTGCGTTGGTTAGTTTTGTTTAGTATATGATTCCTTTCCAACCGGGTTAAAGGAAAGTTTGAAACATGTTATTGTATGTTAGAGTTGTTGAGTGTGAAAACTTGAAACTGAAATTCATTATTTTAAACAATTCTTCGTGGGCGAGCTGTGCGAGTGTGGATAGAATTTCTGTGCGAATGAATGAAAATATCAAAAGGTTAGTACTGCAATTGCATTTTATTAATTTACTACATAGAATTTAGAAATTTACTGCTAGTTATGGGGGAATTTTAAGATACAAATTTTCATCATATGTAGATTTACTGCTTTTGGGGGGAAATTTTATAAATTAATTTACTGCATTGGTATTATATTTATTTAATTGTTGGTGCAAAAGTTTAATAGGGTCTTAAACAGTTTTGAAGAAGTTTGCTATTTTTTATTTTTCTTTTGTGAATTTTTCAGATGATCTAGGATGAAGGCTAAAAATCTAAAGAAAACATGAATAAAGAATGGTGAGTTTTTAATACTGTAATTAATTAGTAATATTTACTTAATTCATACTTACCTGTTAGTCGTCGGGGAAAAAACCGTGGGGGAAGATGTCGTGAATTAGTTCTGAAGTTGTTAGTAGTTTAGCTAAGATGCGGATGATATTTTTAGTTTGAAGCAGTGGCCAAAGCAATTGAAGTGCCTTAATAGTGGTTAGTTCTTCAGTGCCTACTGCAAACTCATAAGGTGTGTTTTGGATTAAGTTATATAATTTGTGGTTAAATTTAGTGTTGTGGATGAATTCTAAAATTGGGATTTCTATAGGTTGTAGGAATTCGTGCGGGATAAGGAAGGGTCGGGATTCTTCGGCGTTGAAGGTCTTGGTGATGGGGCAGAAAATGTACATTTGGGTTATGGGGTCATAATTACGAAGAATACCATGGAGGTTAGTGTCTTTAATACAATATGTGAAATTTAGGAAATATGGTGAAGTGTATTTTGAATTGATGAATTGGAAACGATGGTGTGGTTGTCTAGAGGGTGTGTGGAGGTCAAAGTGATTTTGGATGAAACGATAGTAACTGTATGTATGTGTTTGTTTAGTGCGCAACATAATATCGTGTGAGCAGTGTAAATCTCTTTCGTGTGGTGCAAGGAAATGAAAGGTTAGTGAAAATATTTGGAAGCGTTCTTTAAAACTTTCGTATGCTTGTGTGTCTGTTAGTGCTTCTGAAATAATGTGATCAAACTTGCGGTCGAAGATGTTTAGTGTAAATATATATGGTGTCTTGATGAAAAATTTCTCGGTGATTTGTGGATTAGCGAAGCGATCGTCATCTAAGAATTGATCTTGGTTAGCTCTAATGATGTTGTGATCGTAGTATTCTAGTGTATATTCATTAGCTCTAGGTGCAGTGTGTATTTTTAGTGATTTCTTATATCCAACGTAGGTAAATTGTCTAGCGGTTAGTGGTGTAGTGAGTTGATATAGCATGTCCTTGTTTCGTTCTATATCGATGGAAGTGCTGGATAAAGGTAAGCAAAGAGGGTTAGTGAAATGATAGTATGAGGTCCAAGAGAGAGTGGGCATTAAAACGTATTCATCTACAAAGTTGCGTGTTTCGTTAGCGTCGTGAGGGGTGTTTAAGGTGTATTGTGGAAACGAGGGTAAGGTGATAGCTAAAAATTCTTTAGTGTTAGTATGCTGGGGGTGGTTGATGTATTCACGGGCTGTTCCTGGTTTTGCTGGGAAAGGATGGTTGGGGAATTTTCTTTTAAAAGTGCGGTAAGCTCTATTAGTGTTTAGTGAAGATATAGTGGATGTGGATGATGGTGTTAATGATTCAGTATAATTTGAAGAGGGTGTAGGGGGATTGGATGAATTTGTAGTGGAGGAGATTTGGTTTATGGTCGGGGTGTTAAGGTGGTAGGGTTGCTGTTGGAGGGTAATAAAATTATCTAGCTCTGGGGAGATTCGGGGGGTGTCTGGAGAATGAGATGATTGGTCAGATTGGTATGAGGAGTAGGTTGGGGTAACTTGGGAAGCATAAGAGGGTGTCGGAGTGATTGGGTCAGGGTTATTTGACAATATGGGTTGAAAAGGAGGTTGAGAAAAATTAGAAGGGTTATGAAAATTATTGGATGGGGATGGTTCTGAGTCGGCAAATTCATCGGGGGTTTCAATATTCGGGTTATTTAGCTGTGAGATGGAGTATAAAACTGAAATATGTGAGTTAGTGTCGGAATTCATGCCTGATGTTACATTGCTAGATGGAAAATCGGGTGGCGGAAAAGCAAAAAGTGGTATGATTGGGATTGAAGAGGTAAGATTGGTTGGATGGGAATTTGATCGGTGTAGTGATCCAAGTTGGCGGCTCATCGTGGGCTAAAAAAATTATTATTTTGAGATTGAAAAGCGGTGGTATGGGGCTGTTCAATAATTTGTTCATAAGTATTATCATCTTGTGATTGATGTGTCATTATATGTTGGACGGGACTTTGCGATGTATTGAGTCGAAAATTTGGATTATGTGTGATTGCTAAATTTCGAAAATTTCGTGGGACTAGTGATAGTGGATGATTATTTGGTAGGGGTGGTAGTTGTGGTGCCGTTGGCTGTGTGTCGACATTGTTATGTTCTTCGTCGTATGTATTTTGTCGTGTTGTTATTTTTGTGTTAT